TTACTTCTACTACCACCGATGTAAATAAACAAACAGTCTGAAATACAAATTGAAAAATGAAAAATGTATAAGCTATCTACTTTAGTAAATATTCCAATTTACTGCGTGCAAAAAAATATAAATTTAACAACCATTTTTAATCTCATTGAATATGTGAAAATTCATGTATAATATCATGTGGAAAACAATTCAACATATTCACCGAACAATAGTCTAAAAATCGCATTATAATTTTAGAGTTAGAGTTCCACCCGCTGATGCTGATATCTCGAAGGACGACAGCGCTATTAAGGATAAATGTCGCTGATAAGCAGTGACGTTGCGTTACGATTTATCAAGGTTCCGACAGCCACGATCGGAACTTACGAAGACTTCGCTCTTTTCGTTGAACCTAATGACATCGTGCAAAATCCTAATCTTAATCCTTAATCGCATTTGGCCTTCAGCCGTCAATGGTATATTCCGAAACGCAATTATTTATAGTTACATTTTTTATAAATATATAAATGTCTTAACGACTAAAATAAATTTTGAACTTTGTATCAGTCAAAAAATTTCGATAAAACAGATAAGCTTTCGTTTAATCTATACTTATTATCTGCGAGACTTAATTAATTCGTAGTCTAATTTTTGTTTTCATCATTATCTTATATTATCACTTTTAAATCTAATATATACCGAAATGGCAAAGACTGAGAGTCTGTCGATTAAAGCAATACCAGCTTCAAGAAACTAAGTTGAACTTTCGAGTTGCAACTCTAACAACTTTCCCCCCAAAATTTCTTGATCTTTCCCCGAGGAGAGGACACAACCTCTCTTACTGTGAATCAACTTGCGCCAAACTTTCCTCCCCTATCTAATGTTTTTCTCGTAATTATGTGCTTACTTGCCTCGGGCTTAATGTTCGAACGTTCGAGCGAATCTAGTAATAAGACAAACTTGATAAATGTGCGTTAACACATCTAAATATTTGCTTGTAGAATAATTTTGTGAGGTCACGGTTTTTACGTCTTCCCCCCCCCTCCCCTTCTCTCCTTTTCTGTCTCTCACGCCGTTCTCATAATTCGCCACACAGTTAACTTTAACCCAAATTCGTGAAATGTAGAAAGTTCATTTTCCGTCATTTCAATGACTCCATCGAAAAATAGCTACGCGAAAGCTAACCAGACAGCTATCGAAGCATTATCGGATATCGATAGTAGAAGCCACTGTAATCACATATTTAAGACAGTTTGATCGAATTTTCGATAAAGGATACTACCAAGCAGAATTCGGGAGATCGTCGATTTGAATTACTGCAGGCCTTCGCGAGACTGCGTTTGAACTGAATTGCCAAGTTGTCGATAGAAATTGTCAACACGTCAAATTTCAACAGACAGAGAAGCATTTTGGGAAGAAAGTAATACAGAATCGAAAAATTATCGAAATTTCAGTAAAAAATTTTGATGTTACGAAAAATAATAATGTCATAATTAATATGTCAGTACAAAAATTTTTTTTTTTTACTTTTATAATATGATTTAAAGTATAATAAAGTATAAAAGTATAATTTAACAGTGAACTTCTTTTTATCGGTATTTTAACATTTTTATCTCTTTTCTTCTATCATTTCTTATTCGTTCAACAAATATTTGCATTCTTCCGTGAATATATAAAACGGTAGTGGTTGTTTTGACATCGCAGTCGCCACTAATGGCGAATCATCGGAGATGTTATGACGTTTTTATTATCGATAAGGATTGTAAAGAAACAAGTCGTGGAAACTGTGACACAATGATGCTCGACCTGAAGAGGGGTTTCCAAAGACTGGCAGAAAAAAGCAGTTGTCGAACGAGTAAAGTTCTTTAAGATGACGAGATCCTCTCTTCGGCTCAACACTCCCTTTTAGATCTAAATCGCACCCAAGGGAGATTCGTTATGGCTCTTTCAAGTTTGTCGCCATGAAACTTTCAAGCTTGTTAGCCCGAATCCTTTTACCCTTCTAACAAAAGCCGATGTACTTATATATGATCTAAAGATATGGAAATTATGAAAACAATTATAT